TCCAGGAGGACACCCAAACTGCGGACCTGTGACTTCAGGGGGAGTGTAACCCCGTCCAGCACAGGTTGCCACTGGATTATATGGCAGTGCAGATGGGACCTCAATGCTCACCCAAAAGCAGAGCATCTGAAAGAGGTTGAACAGAACCTACTTCACATCACATAGCATTTAAAACATTCACTGTTTCGAATGTAAAAAACAGTCAATTTACTGTGCGCGGTAACCTTTCGCCCACCACTTCAGATTGATTTTTTTATGATAACAGTATTACAGATACACTTAAGCCACCATAAAATGAAGAAATATTTCATTGCTAGCAATTAACTACTGGTGTGAGCGAGCCAGAGAAAACCACTTTCTCAACACAGCGCTGATAGATTTTCATTGATTGCAGGGGGAAAGTAGGCGGGTGCTATTTTTAATTCAGTTTATATTTAACAATTTATGAGCAAACTATAGGTTGCTTTGTTTGAGTTTTGTGCCATGGGAAAATGCCTTTTCAACGTTTTACTATTATTTTGCAAACAAAGACATACGCGTTAAAACTAACACATTTTAACAATAATGGTTTCTAACACAAATACTTTAAAGAAAAACCCATTTAATTCTTTGTGTTAAATCATTTCAAGATGTTTTGGATTAGGGTTAGGATACCTCACATGGTCCTGATGTATCACATTAAGGCAAGCTGCACTAAATTATATATGTGCACGCGAATGTACATATATATATACACACACCTCCCATAGTTTTGAAGTATGTGTGTGGGTGTGTATACATATATTGCAATATATAATTTAATATTAATGGCTGCCGAAACAGTCATTAGTATACTTTGCATGAAGTATGTGTGTGTCGGAACTCAGGTGCCTTAAAGAGCCAGACACAAGAATGTAATCAAAACAACAGTTTATTAAGTCAAAGTAAACAAGACTCAGAGACACTTACTTCAGTGCCTCTGATCAAAACTCAAAATTTGCAGCAATTTGCAGCAATTTGCAGCTTGCAAAACAAACTTAGAAAATAAACCGGATTAAACTGGCAAAAAATCCGGGTTAAACAAGAGTTCTAGCAAAATGCACCAAAAACACACAGTTCAAAGATAAAGCCCAAACAAAAAGCCGTGAAGAGAAGCTGTCATCCAAAAGCAGTCCAAAGTCGAAGAAGTCCAATGGACGATACCAGAGTCCAGAAGGCAGCATCGTCGTCAGAAACAGTCTGAGGTCAAGGAGAGGGGAAATCCGCACTTACGAGAATCCAAGCCGGTCAGTACATGAAGAACACAGCAACCTGCAGTTCCAGGACCCAAGCCCAACAAGAGAAGCGGTAGCAACAGGACCCAAGGCACGTAACCAACACTTTGCCTACTGCAAAGTTCCAAACTTTCAGTGCCTTCATTTATCCTACAACTCATCATCCATTGATGAGTTGCCCTCCACCCCATCCTCATCGCTGTCAGCTGGCTTAGCTTCTACAGCTGAACACCAACGCCCATCCCTCCAACTTTTCCACCTTTTATCAAGACTTAGATCACCCCACGATTCCATGGTATCATCAGCTTGCCAATCTCCTCCAGAAAATCCCTCAAAGGTGTCACTGGACGTGGGCTGCGTACACACATTCCTGATCTCCTGAACTTGTGTCCAGTCTAGTTCCTCTTCATCCTCACTACTCCCAGACCCATTACTTCCAGTAAAGCCCATGAAATCCTCTTCCTCAGTGGGAGCAGTAAATATGTCCCGGATCCTCTTTCTTTGACGCTCCTCGTCTGACTCTTGCTCCTGAGTAGTCCTCTTAAAACCTCTACTCCCATCTCCTTCCTCCTCCTCCTCACTCATTTCTGTGCCGTCCGCCCAGACGATATAAAAAATAAAACTGTGACGTGCTTCTCTCTATGCCTGAGCGAACTGCAGGTGTCTATATTGAGAAGCTTGAGATACTCAGCAACTGAGACTATTACTGGTTTAAACATCAAAAAAGGATATGTATTTATTCAAAGTCCTTGAGGACTTGGCACAGTTCATCACAGTTGCAAACAAACAGTCAATAGATGAAACTACAAAAATATTCTTTCCTTTCTTTAGTTACAGAGGTATCCCTTTCTCCAGATGGCAGATAAGATTCTGGAATCTTAACACCCTAACCTCAAGCTGTTGTGGTTTAAAAAAAGCAGGCTTTTCCCTATCTATAACTTAAGGTTAGTTCTGGAGACAAATCAGTCACAACTCTCTATAACTATATAACTCAATCTTCTCAACTAAGCTTATCTATCTATAAAATCTCAAAACAGCTCAAAACACAATATACTATCTATATTATCTTAATATAGCTTACTCAGTTTAGTCAGTTTAGTTTTTGCAGTGGTTCTCCCAGAACTAACTGCTTATCCATCAGCACGTCTGAAATCCTTCCTCAAACTGAAAAGGCAAGGGAGAATCTAAAATGGGGATCTTTCCCTGGGAGAAAAGGCAGTCTCTAAACTCAAAGAGCTGCTCTGTAAGCCAATAGTTGCAAAGAGGCCTGCAGACTCTGATACTATTAACCTTTAGGACTCTTGCAAAGATGCAGCAGCCCTGGGAGAAAATGCAAGAGGAAGCAACCTCAAGCAACTATAAAGTGAGGCAAATCAGGCTCCTGGGAGACGGAACAATTTCACTGCCAGAGAAACCTGTGGGTGACGTAAATATCTCCTGGAGTCTCTTCCTTTGCTGCTCTTCATCTAACACCTGGGCACCTCGTTTCCCTCCTCTACTACTCCACCTATCAGTTGTAACGTTGCCAGCAGACTCTACTACAACAGTGAGTTTGCTTTTGTATATGTGTATGTATGTGTGTGTATATATAATATACATATGTATAAGGTATATACATATGTACATTATAGATATTTACATCAGAAATTATCTTCCAGAGTTTTACTAAAGAGTCTAGGACAGTGATTCTAAAATTTCAAACACACACTGCTCACATAACCACATTGAAACATGGAACAGCTTAGACGATGCTACTGGAAAATGAGATTAACAGGAAGACATTGGTCATTATATGTTTTAATTGTTTTTGTATGGTTTTCATAATGTTGTTTTAAATGTTTTAATTGTATATGTTATGGATTGTTATGGCATCGAATTGCTGACAATTTGTAAGCCGCCTTGAGTCGCTTTCAGGCTTGAGAAAGGCGGGATCGAAACATCATAAAAAAATAAATGAATAAATATATTTTGCTTGAGATCACAGTGTGAATACAAGTATTTTGCTCTACAAATGAAAGTGTAATTATTATTATTTTTAATACCATACAAACACATCTCAAGGTCCTGAAGTGCCACATTAATGCAATATACACTTTTGCAGCAGGTCTACCCCGTCAATTTTAAACCATGAATTTTAAATTTACTTTTTATTCTTTGTACCATGTATTTTAAATATATGTATTATATAGTGATGTGTTTTAATAATGTTATTTTATTGTATTTTATTTATGGTGATATGTCTTAACTGTGCATTAGAGGCAGTTAACACATTATTATTATTATTATTATTATTATTATTATTATTATTTCATGCACAACAAGATTAATACACAGCAAACAAGATCACTATGCTGTCTTTCGTATTCGATCACATGTTGGACACTTCCCAAGTGTCTAGAACTGTGCGATGTATCAGTGAATAATGTGTGCAGATTCCAGTAGGGTGGCCTTTTGCAGCTGACAGATGGTAATTTTGTCAGTACTGATTGTTTCTAAGCACGGGCCAAGGTTTTTAGGCACTGCACCCAGTGTGCCGATCACCACAGGGACCCCCTTGACTGGCTTGTGCCAGAGTCTTTGCAGTTCAATCTTTAAACCCTCATATCGTGTCAGCTTTTCCAGTTGCTTGTCATGAATTCCGCTGTTGCCTGGGATTGCAACATTGACAATCCATACTTTGTTTTTTTCCACATTCATTAGGTTAGGAGTCTTATGCTCCAAAACTTTTATCAGTCTGAATTCGGAAGTCCCAGAGTAGTCTGACGTGTTCATTTTCCATAACTTTTTCAGGCTTGTGATCCCACAAGTTCTTTGTCGCAGGCAGATGGTATTTGTGGCACAAGTTCCAATGAATCATCTGAGCAATGGTGTTATGCCTCTGCTTGTAGTCTGTGTGCAATCTTCTTGCAGCAGCTGAGGATGTGATCTATTGTTTCATCTGCTTCCTTGCAGAGTCTACACTTGGAATCTGTCATCGACTTATCAACCACCATGTCAGACTACACAGGGAAGCCATTGAAATCCGCAAGCATGTGGACAATTTCAACAGAAAGGAGGAAACCATGAAAATGAACAAAATCTGGCTACCAATATTAAAAAAAACTCTAAAATTACAACAGCAAAACAACAAAGAGTAAACAATCAGGCACATCTAATCATCTCTAACAAAAGATTCCCCCAGGCACTGTCAAGCCATCAAATGCTTAAAGTGGTCAGTTGAAACATTCACACCTAGCTCCAGCAGACAAGAGTCCTTTGTCTCACCCTGGTCATTCCACAGATATATAAACTCCTTTTCCTAGTTCCAACAGACCTCACTACCTCTGAGGATGCTTGCCACAGATGCACGCGAAACGTCAGGAGAGAATGCCTCTAGAACATGGCCATATAGCCCGGAAAAACCATGAAAGCCTTCGACAATTGATTCTAATTGCTTGTTCTTGTTATTATTATTACTTTATACAAAAAACTGAATGTGTGTTGTTATTGCTATCATTATTATTCTATTTATTTATACCCCGCAAATTTATTTATTTCCCCCGAAGAGGATTCAAAGCAGCTTAACATAAAAGCATTAGCACACAATTTAAAAAATATACAAAATATACAAAAATTAAAACAGAATTAAATATAAACAGTATTAAAAATTCCCAGTTAAAAACCATTCAAACATATTCAGTTCACATTCAAAGTTAAAGTATTTTCTTTAAGTCTTATGTTAATAGCAATTGCTGTTGAAATAATATGCGTTGCATTAATATGTTATCACAGGCCCCTTCCACACAGCTGAATAAAATCCCACGTTATCTGCTTTGAACTAGGATATTTGGCAGTGTGGACTCATATAACCCAGTTCAAAGCAGATATTGTGGGATTATCTGCCTTGATATTCTGGATTATATGGCTGTGTGGAAGGGCCCTTAGGTCCATTGAAAGTGTGTGTATATGCATATGTTTATGTTTATATATAAATATACATGTAGTCCCTTCTTCATCGCCATATAATCCAGATTATCAAAACAGATAATACAAATTATCCGCTTTGAACTGGATTACATGAGTCTACACTGCCAGATAATCCAGTTCAAAGTGGACAATCTGGATTGTATACAGCTGAGTAGAATGGGCATTTGAACTGGATTATCTGGCAATGTAGACCCATAT